AAAAAAAAAAAGAGAAAAAGCAAACAGAAAGAGAACAACTCTTACAAAGAACAGAAGCCTTTAAATGAGAAAAACAACCCGAGCTGACTCTGGCGTTCCCAGAAGGATGAGGGGGGTGTGGAGGCTGTATCCATGTATTCCTTGGGAATCTGCAGTCTGTTCCAGTGGCATCACACCATTTCCAGCTGTGAAAAACAATGGTCTTGTCATTTGCTAAGTGTGGGGTTTCTTGCATTTTGTTTTCCTTYGCTCCTGGGGTGCACGGGGAGGGGTTTTGGGGCAGGACCCGTTCCAAAGCCCGGTGTCAAACCCAGCCCTTCCTGACCCATCCCCGGGGCTCTGGGGCTCACGGTCCCCAGGATTTGTTTCTTTTCTCCCAAAGAAATGAATCCGTGAAACGCAGCTGGGGACGGCTCCATCCTCGTTTGTCCCATTTTTGTGCCGAGTTTGGGCTGGGTTTGTCACCCGTGCGTGTTGTAACCCCCAAAAKCTGCGCAGGAATCGCATCAGAATTCCCAAAATTCTGCCCGGGGACACCCATCAGCACCCTCCGGGTGGGATTTGGGGCAKCTGTCCCACCTGGATTGGCGATTTTATCCCAAAAGGTGACAGCTCCGAGCCCAGCACCCGGTGACAGTTCGGGGGTGGCACTGCTGAGCTCTAAGGTCCCCCGCACCCCAAAGCTGTGATTTGGGACGGACGGAGCGGGCAGGAGGGACCCGTGAGCACCGGGAGCGCTTCAGTGCTCCCCAGCCGTGCTTTTCCATCGCCCCCGACGGGAAAAATTCCACGGAATTGCCTTCCCGAGCGGCCCGATTTGGGGACATCGTTCCGTGTGTCCCCGCGGGGAAGGAGCGGCCCGATTTGGGGACACTGTGACCCAATTAGGGGACATTTGGGCCCGATTTGGGGACACTGTGACCCAATTAGGGGACACCGCGGCCCGATTTAGGGACACTTCGGCCCGATTTGGGGACACCGCAGCCCGATTTGGGGACACTTCGGCCCGATTTGGGGACACTGCGGCCCAATTTGGGGACACTGTGGCCCGATTTGGGGACACTTCTGCCCGATTGGGGACACCGCAGCCCGATTTGGGGACATCGCTCCGTGTGTCCCCTCGGGGAAGGAGCGGCCCGATTTGGGGACACCGTGGCCCGATTTGGGGACATTGCTCCATGTGTCCCCGACGGCCCTATTGGGAGACACTTCGGCCCAATTTGGGGACACCGTGGCCCGATTTGGGGACACTTCGGCCCGATTTGGGGACACCGCAGCCCAATTTGAGGACACCGCAGCCCCATTTGGGGACACCGCAGCCCGATTTGGGGACATTGCTCCGTGTGTCCCCGACGGCCCGATTTGGGGACACTTCGGCCCGATTTGGGGACATCGCTCCGTGTGTCCCCGCGGGTCCATCCCCTCCATCCCGGTGACCGCAGCCCGTCCCGTCCCTCCGGTTTCCCGAGTTTCTGTTCACACTTTTGTACGGAGCCTTCAAACCCCACATTTTTCACCACCAGGCTGTTTTGATAGTTGTTCTCAGCCCYTCCATGGCCATCCTTCCCCAGCATTCCCTACTTTTGGGGGCCTTCTATCTTGTTAAAAAAAGAAAAAAGAAAAAAATCTTTTTACCGAGTGAAACATCGACTCCACCTTTATCCCCATTCTCACTGGTGTAAATACTGATACTAACTGAGGATTTTGACTTTGCATTCTGTCAGAATACTGTGTTCAAATAAAAATTAAAAAAAAAAATCTGATGCCTGCGGTCTGCCCTTCTTTAGCYGCTCCTGAGTATCACTAAAACAGCACTTTAAAGTTTATTCATTTGTCACTCTATATTAATTTACTGATTTCCTGCAGATAACAAACCCAAAAATGCAGTTTCACAGCTAATGGGAAGCTTTTTCCCCCCCAAAAAAGGCACTTTTCTGCTGCCTGGCTGTGGAAATGGTGAATGTTTGGTTTAATGGGCTCTGCCCATCCTGAATTGGATGCCTGAACTTGATTAATGAGGTTTGAATGTAATTAATTTATTCAATTAATTCATTTAAAAGTCTTGATCTTTTTTTCTAAATTTTATCTAWAAATTATCAAAATGCCCAGCTTTAATTTTTTTCAGTCTGGGGATTACGGGGAGGGGGGGCTTCCCTTCACAAATTCTGACAAAGGAGGGTTGATTTTCACACAGTTTCCATTTAGCTGAAAAAGATTTTTAAGCCACAACCCAACCATTCGTTATAAAAAACACCAATTCCTTTCAAAGGGAGAACATCAATGACCCAAATTCCTGGTGGGGGTTGAAGGGAAGGCTCTGGGGTTGCTTTTTTTGGGGTCAGGGTTCCCCAAATCCCTCCAGTCCCTTGGATGGATGGAACCGTGCCCTGCCTTTGYTCWGTTCYCTGCTGCACCATTCCAACCTGGAGRAGCTCAGGAGTTCTTCTTTCTCCTCCCAGAGAAGTGAAAATGGATTTTCCTGCTCCTCAAGATGGGTTTGTGCTCAGTGGCAAAACCACTGACAGCTCCTTTACTGGATCTTTGCATTTCTGCAGCCATTTTCTCATCCCTCAAACCTTTTCATTTCGATTTAATTTTAATTTTYTCTCCCTCTGTTAAGGCCATTGCACCTGACTGGCAGTGTCACCTTGGCTGAGTGTGGCTCCTTTACCCCAGGCTGGAATTTGGGGTAAGTCTGAGCGGGGCTGGAGGGAGGTGGGTGGAGATTTTTGTGCTGCTTCTTTCTCTCATCCCTTTTAGAAATTACAATTAGCTGGCCTTTTATCAGACATAAGCGTATGAATATCATGGATCTGTTCAGGGCATCGTTTTGAGTGCTTTTTTTAGCATTCAGAAACTGAAGGTGTCTCCTCTGCGGTGCTCTGGCTCCCTGCGGTGGCCGACASGGAAAGCCGCAGCCTTTCAGGGAGAAATTAAAG